TGTATTGCCTAGACGAATGATCATACATGGATAAGGACAAATTCCTTTGCATGTGTCGATCCTCTCTTCTACTAGTATATGCATCAGTTCGTTTCATATATTGTAGCATGGACATTCAATCATTTATACCATGGATATAGATTATATGATAAGTTCAATAGGGCATATATCTATGCTCATTACTCCACCCCTGCCTCTAAATCTTGGATGGATTGATTGCCTTGGGACATTGGATCTAACTTCTTTATAGGTCAAAGAATGACATCATTTAAAATAGAAGTGGCTAATGCCTGACCTAATGTATGAACGATGATATGCCCAGCTTAAGGAAGTGGAAGTCCCATGGAGGTTTGATTTTGATGATCAATCAATTTTTTATTGACGATCTCCCTTCACATCATTTCATGAGCCATCATAAGTGGTGGAATTCTTGTTTCACACATCTTTCCAAAAGAGAGTATTCATATTGAGGTCTTCTCTTAAAGCTAAAAGGGCCTCTCCATTGGTAACTTATTCACAGTAAGTCATTTTATCTGTGAAGCGATCCAGATGACTCTTCAAGGGTTTGCCTTCCGGTTGCCTCATATCTCGAAGGCGTTGAATGGGGGCTTCTCCATATTTACTAGATAGGTTTTTGTTTAAAAAGGCCTTTTTAAGGCCCGACCAACTCCTGATATTCCATGCTGGTATCCAACTATACTATATTTCAGTGGCCCCAGTAAATGTAAGGTAAAAGGTCCTACATTTTTATTGCAGGCGAGGCACCTCTTAGACTCATGTGAGTTTTATAATTGTTAAGATGTTTTGCATTTTACCATTCCTTTCATACTTGGGAATCTTCAATGGGTGCAAAAAGGTTGAGGACATGGGTATTTTTCAACTTTTGTGAAAAGTGGAAATTTGCCATCATTATCATCCAGTTTGAAGGATCTACGTAGACCATCTAAATCTTCTTCCTCGACTTGATACTGGGACGATTGAGATTGGTCAGCTTGGTTACTCAAATTTGTAGTGTCTCGTCTCTCTCATCTATTTCTACGTGGAGAGACATGCTGTGGCCTTTGACTTTGAATATAGTCACATGGTCTGGTCATAGAAGGTTGCTGTTGGGATCTATTTCTAAGCATTGATGGGCCAATCCGGTCAAATATATTGAAGGACCTCTGAGGTCCATGTTCTTGTTCATACTATGGAGGAGAGTTGAACTCCCTTTAGGGCAAGGCGACTGAAGGTGTAATTGGTAGACACACCTCTACCTCTCTCTCAGTTGGACTAATCTTTCTCCATTGTCTTTGATAATGAGCTTTGTGGCTACATGAGAGAGAGAGAGAGAGGGGAAGTTCTTTTTATATACCAAGTTTGGTGTAGCTAAAAGTCAATTTTCATAAATGTTGATAATAATACATTATTGAAATTTTAATTAAAAAAATTATAAATTTTATAAATGTATAATTAAAATTAAAATTTTAAGCCATACCAGAAAAATGAGTAATCTATATACATACTTTTTGTATACTAAATTTCAATAAATATTATTAAATCTAAAATATATTAAATATCACATCAAGTGAGAATAATAACAATTCAATTATATCAACAATACCTTACTTTTTATTTTTCAATATGTAATAAATACTATAAAATCCTTGTTAAGTATGAATTTCGTGTTATTAATTCTTAATCAATGAACGTTCATATTAATCTAGACTCGTTGAATCTTGATCTACATGAATCTAGAGTAATATTAACGAATTTATTTCTATTCATATATCTAAAAATTTTAATAGGTGTTTTAAATTCATGTATTAGCAATTAATTCTTATGTACCAAATAAATTTTGATTTGATGAATCTTGATATAGATGAATTTATTTTTATTCATATATCTTGCAATTTTAATGGATATTTAAATTCAGGTATTAGCAACTAATTCTATGTACAAAATATAATATAAAAATATTGCACATTTGTAGTATTTCATCATCACAAAAAATTGAACTATAGAAGTTGACTTTTGATAGTACAATTTTTTTATCTTAAGTTTCTATCCTAAAATATATTTTCTTTAATTCGTTTAAAACTCGTCAAATCTTTTCAACAAATTAGTATCAAATATTACTATAACAACACTTATAAGGTATTTCAGTTAATTAAAAAAATGTAATTGGCACAAAACGTCCCCCACTTTTTAAGTTTATTGTGGAAAACATCTATACTTTCATTTTTTGACAATTTTACCCCTACTTTTCATCTTTCTTTGCGTTAGACATAATTTTCACCAGTTTTTAACGTAAAATTACCAATATATCCTCATATTTAAATAAAACAAAAAAGAAAAGAAAAATAAAAAAATAAATTACAACTATAGGTCCAAACTTTTAAAAAAGTGCAAATTAGTTCAAATAAATTATTAAAATATTAAAAATAACAAATAAAAAAAATTTGATACAAATACTACTTAATTTAAAAAAATTTCTCAATCCTCAACAACTCCCCTTCCTTACGTCTCCTCCTCCACCACCACCATCAAGCTCACACCACAAATTGCTGCCATCAATCCTAAACACTTATGATAGAAATTTGATACAGATACTACTTAATTGAAAGGGGATCTAAACTCGTATGCTTCGAATTGTCCCAAAATCAATTGCGTGATTCATGCAAAATTACTGAAGACCCATAGTTGTAACAACTTCACAATGATGAGAGGGTGCTAAATATGATGGTTCGCAATCATGATGTCCACCACAGTCGTCAAAATTTTCCCTGAAACATGCGTGATGACTGCATCCGAAATGTTTGGTTTCAAAAGTTGATTGGGTGGTTAAGTAGGTGTTTGGGGACCATGGTTTGATAAGAGAATCTACTAATATGTTAGGCTTGGGTTGGAAGTCGTTGAAAAGGGAGCTACCGACAATTTTGATTTGTGCAACTGGCAAATTTTGGAGAGAAATTTCGGCCAATTCACCTGGAGTTAAGGCCAACTGTTGAGTGGGTTGTATAGAAGGCAGTAAGGGCTTCAAGTTGGTACTATGGTCCAGTGGCCATGGTGGCCGGAATGTGGTGAAAATCATAGTCAGGTGGAGGAGGGGAGGAGAAGAAGAGAAAAGAGAGAGAGAGTTTTTTTTTTAAATATTTTTATAATTTATTTGGACTAATTTGCACTTTTTTAAAAGTTTGGGCCTATAATTGCAATTTATTCTTTATTTTTCCTTTCTTTTTTGTTTTATTTAAATATAATGGTATATTGGTTATTTTACGTTAAAAATTGGTGAAAATGACATCCAATGCAAAGAGGTGAAAGATTAGGACGAGAGTGTCAAAAAATGAAATGTATGGACGTTTTGTATCAATTACCCAATTAGAAAACCCCTAAAAGTACAATAGAAATCTTGTATTGCAAATTTTTGGGGCATGCCTTAAATTTTTTCAATGTAATATATAAATATTATTCTATGGATACATAATATTGTACATAAGGGTGTCCATGACGGCCCCCTATTGGAGGGGGTTAGAGAAAATTTGTTTAGTTTGTCAAAATAAATAAAGTCGATTTATTATATGGGTTATTCTATGGATACTTTAGGTGGTACATAAGGACGTCCAAAATTAACACCCGACGACTTTATTTAAGTTGACAAACTAAACAAATTTTCTCGAAATTATCTGATATTTGATTCTAACCGAACTTCCACGCAAGTGTACTTCGTACACCATACGATGTTCTTAAATTCTCTTTTACTCCACAAATCCCAAATTAATTAGGTCAAGCGATCACTGAAATCCATGCCAGACGGTTACTTTTATAATTATTTATTTCAATGATGATTAGTTCAAGGTGCCACTAATCCCTGACTTTAATCCTTTGTTATAACCAATGTGGGTAACAAAATTTTGCCCCTACATTTCGGACACGCCACATGCTAATTTCCCCTATGCTTAAAATCTCAAAATAAAAAATAAAAAATAAAAAAGAATCAATTATGTACACAAATATCCCCCCGCCCAAATGAAAATCTTCATTCCATAGTCCCGTTTGGCTCCCATTATTTCACATTATAATTTTTCTTTTTTATTTTCAATCATACAATTTTCTATAAAATGACATAACACGTAAATCGAATGTTTTTCCTCCTTTTCAACCATACATTATCCAAAAAATACTCTTTTAAAAATTATAATACCAAATAATAGGAACCAGATGGGGACTTATACTCTTTATCCGTGAATTGAAATAAAACTCGATTATCTAATTTCTTTTATCGTGACTCTAATTCTAATCAGGGCCATGTAGAAGGTCTTATCGCATGTACAATGATAAAGAGGCTATAATTTTCAAAATGTTTTCGTTATAAATAAAATTTTATTTATTTTTACGATCAACTTAAGTAAATAGAAATAAATTTAATACTTTCGAACATACAATTCCATGCTTAGAGTTATATTAAAGGGAAAACAGAAAAGGAAATCCCAAAAATTCACGATTGAATTAATGACCCGAAACCATGTGCATGGTCCCAAACTTTAAAGATATGGTCACCCCTCTTGCCCCACCCTCCCTCATGCACCTTGATATGAGTTTTGCACCAATTCCTATGATCGCAATCCACTTTACTCATGCCCAACCAAGCAAATTTTCATCATCTTTTCTTTTATAAGAAGGAAAAAATATATATAAAGCTCATGTTCCATTCACTTTTTGCACCAAAAGTTGAGTAAAAACTAAGCTTCTGTTGGAGTAGATATAAAAAGTTTTTAGTAATTTTTTTTAAAAAGTAAATGAAATTTATAGTTGAAATAGGAAAAACTTGTTTGGACAGGGGAACAGTTGCCCCTCCAATAGGGGGCGCCACATGGGCGCCTTGTTGTTTGGCCGGAATTTGACCCTAACCAAACCGCGGCTCATTGAAATATTGTGCATATAATAAAATTACTTTGAAAATTAATTATGGATTTAACTTAAATTTTAATTATTTAATTGCACTAGACAAGGACTAAGCATAATTCAACAAAAGTAAAATCTACTGAATTAAAGTAGAAATTCACATAAAACATCCAACTTCTACAATTGAATTGACTGTTTTCTCCCTCCATTTGGAGTAAGTTCTCTATGAAATCCCTCTTTTCTCCAAAATTCAAATCTCTAAACTGTAGTAGTGAATTAGAAAAATGAGGTTGTCACTGGTTACTTTAAAACGCTAAAATTAGTATCCGCTAAACTAGATCACGTTCTTGAAATCAGGATCATTGGCACCATTGTGATGATGAATAAGGAAATCATCGCAGCCGTTGGATATGTTGAAAATTGATGTTTGACTAAGCAGCTGCTGCTGGTGCATCTGCAGCTCCTTTTGCCGCCGGAGCTCCACAACTTTCCGGTGGGAATTCGAGTGCTTGGTGGACACAAAAGTCGGGCTAGCGGCTGGTCGGTATTCGGGTACGAGCCGACCCGACTTGTATCGGACCCCACAAGCATTGCATAAAGTTTTTGGGCCCAATGGGCCGGTTCTCCACTGTGGAGTTTTCTCTGAGGCGCAATGCAGACATTTCCGGCCTGGGGTTTCAGTTGGCTCCCTTCTCTTAGTCGGTGTCGTTTTCATGGCCTTGGGGTTGGGGTCTGTGTTTGCAGTGATATTATTGTAGTGAGTATAGGAGGTGGAGGAAGGTGGGGCAGAGAGGAGGAGGAGGCGGGAGGACCAGTCACAGGGGGCGGCGCGAGAGCGCTTGCTGCGGGCTTTGCCTGGGACGGAGACATCCGAGGGGAAAATTGGCGGCGGTGGTGAATGGTTGATCGGAGAGACTGAAATTGTGGTGGCGGAGGAGGAAGTAACGGTGGGCTCCACGGCGGTGGCCGTGTGTGTCGGAATGAAGTGGAGCTTGTGGACGTCGTCGCTTGAGAATGATTCCTCCACAAAATTTGAAAGCCATTCCAGCTCTGCTAGATCATCGTACTGTTCACAAAATATAATTCGAAAATTCATTTTTGAATGAAGCAATTAAACGTAATTTTTCTGAATTTTGATTTCAAGCTAAACACACATGCAAAAAGCTAATTTAAAAAGCGAAATTCGACAATTCATATTCAAAAATAGGATTGAATACGTCAAATTGCTAGCTACTATAAATATAGAAAATACAAAAGCTTATTTCATAGCAGAAATTGACTGAAATCCCTATTATTTTTGCGAAGTCACTTTTTGTCACAGAGGAACAGTCTGCACTGTATCGTCGGTGAGCAAAAAGAAAAGGCAGAGGCACACACCTCGAGGTGTTCCATGCATAAAATTATGAGATGAAAAATTTTAAATTATTTCAAAAATTAATAACAATTATAGAAAGTACGATCAAACTCACCGGAACACAGAGTTCATTGCCGGAAAATTGAGAGTCGGTGAAGCTACGGCAGCTAACTTTTCCATTAAATTGGCCATCTCCACCGCCAGAAACCGACGAATTACAGCTGTCGACGACGGTGACAGCCGAGGAATCGCCGGAATTTGCTGCCAAGCTATCAAAAAAAGCGTCCGTCATCGCCACGTCCTCCTTGGAAAAATCCAACAAATCATCCACCGTGAAATGGGCGCCATTACCATTACTATTACCATTAATATTATCCACTGACGAAAATTCAGCATAATCCCCCATAAAATACTCCATCATGTATAGAGTTTGATCACAAATTTAATTTGGCAAGTTCTGGTTTGATTTTTTTGAAAAAGAAGCAAAAGCAATGGGAGAGAGAGTGTGTGAGTTGAAAGTGAAGGAGCGAGGGGGGATTTTGATGAGTGAAAGGAGGGGCCGAATTGCAAATATTAGAAATTTTGGAAGGTCAATGACTTGTTTTTTTTATTTTACTTCATTTTGTTAACGAATGGTTAATTTTTTTTGGTGGTTGGATAGTGGGATAAAAGGAAATTGATTCACAAGAAAAGCTACTCACTTGTTTTTCATTTCGGAGGCCCATCTTTTTATAATTAATTTCTTTATTTGGATTGCAAATACAACCTCAAACATTGGGATTATTTTAAAAAAAAAAAAAAAAAAAAAAATTTACCAAAACAAATTTATAACTCAATTTAAGTACTTATTAATTAGAATAATGCTTCTAGTAAGTGTTGGCATTCACTATTTGTTTATTTAACTTGAAGTTATACACATTGTTCAATAAATGTAAATGTATCTCAATTTTATCGAACGAGAAGGCAATGATTATTTTTAGAGTAATGTTATTCGTAGTGAAGACTGTCAGTAGTCGCTCTATATGACATACACTTGACAATTTGATTTTTGATATATAGATATGATAGTTATTTTTTGAATTATACATCAAATGAAAAACTGTTAAGTGTACGTCACATAGGACGATTGTCGATAGTTTTCACTGCGAATAGCATTATTCTTATTTTTATCGCATGAAGCAACGAAATTAATTCACATGGTAGAGGGAATAATTATAAGTAAAAAGTTGAAATTAAAAGAGATAATTAGTAATTAATAATTGCTTAAAATAATCGTTTTGTCGCCGTGACTCCTCCATTAGTGTCCAAGTTTACTGCCGGATTCCCCTGCCATTTTCTCTCTCTAATTATTTTGCCTTGGGGAATTGAGCTTTTGTCCCCTTAATTTAATTTACTTATGTTTGCCTCCCCATTAATTTTAAATTCCATTATTAGCCGTACCCTTTCAAGTTTTACCTCATATTACCATGTTATTATATTCCTTAACCCACGTTGAAGCACGACGGCTACAGCTTGGCGTGAAGAACTAATGACGGTCATGATGACTGCCACGTGGCATTTGTACTTGTTTGAAATTTAGCTCCTGTTTGATTGTAATTAAAATTAAAATTTTAATTTATATCAAAATTAATAATTAATTTTAAGTACATATTTTTTGGATCTTATAATTTTTTAACCACAAATTTCATTAGTTTTTATCAAAATCTACTAAAAATCTAATTTTTATCCCACCAAAAAGCGACTCAGCCCGATTGATAGCTATTATTTGGATAAAATGAAGTTTTGAATATTAATTTTTTGAAGAATCTGTAGTTCAAAAGTAGAAGAAAGTTTTGTGTCTACGTGAAGAATAATTTATTATATGAATGTGTGGTTGAAAGGAAATATGTTACTTATACATAATGCGGTGTCCATAGTAATGTCCACTTTGATCACATGGAAGGGGATTTGCTTCGAATAAATTATATTTTATTCGAAGTAAGCCCCCTTTCATGGGAGAATGATGAACACCATTATGGATACTCTGATATACGTATAGTATAACTCAGTTGAAAATTAATATGTAGAAAAAAATGTTTTAAAATAATGATTGTCAAACAGAAACTTACTTTCATTGTCATTTTTTATTAAAAGATTTGATTGTCACATTGGTTCTGTATATTGTTCTCAATTGAGTTTCTTCGACAAACTTGCAAAAACTTTTTCATTTTTGTACTTATGTAAGAGCAGAATCTGTTTCACACCTTCACTTTTACTATCGATAAACCTATTACAATCAATTTCCTTTGTCGACCACTCAATTATGTCCAACCTCTTTATTCGTGCTTGTCTTTCCTCTTTCCATCTTTAGGACTATAACTTCCTTTGGAATGATTTAGAGAGTTGCAAAATTAGGTTCAAAGATGATTTCGAATTAAACTTTCATCAACTTCAACTAAACTAATCATCTTTGTACCTTTTTTGTAATTGCTGTGCACCCCATACTTGTGGTGTTTAACCTATATTGGAGGGAAAAATAGTTAGAAATCAAATAAAAGGTGACATTTATATGTTCAAATTTAGTTCCATAACCTATCATGCTATCAATTTACACCATATGTTCTTTTATTGATTATTACAACATAAGATATGGTCAAAAGATTTCAATCCACACCACACAATAATAGCTATTAATGGTAAATTCCAAAATAAGAGAGAAAGCAAGAGAAAATAATTCTAATAAATCTCAATGTCAGAGGAATATGATCCTCGTAAAATGACAAAATTGGACACTAAATTCCTAATTACCCAAAAAGATATTATAACTTTATACTATGGTTTAACTTCGACTCAGAATATACACTTGATACTCGACTGATCGAGTAAGTTTAATAGTCTTAACTTTTTATTTTTACCAATATGCTTTAAAAACAATACAAAGTTAAAAAGAGAGGTGTTAGATCTTTTTCATAAATAATGAACTTATTTTTAAATAATTTCTTTTCATCCATGTTCGTGGGGTCCAACTAAGCACGTGACAAGGTGAGGAAGTAATTTGGTGCCATCATGTGAGAGACTTGAATATGTTTTAGAAATATTGACACAAGCAGCAAACTCTAGCTGTGGTCAAAATTCCAATTAGCTGGAAATTGGAATCAAAGTTATAATTCTCCAATCAAACGGGCTTTCTTGATGCTTCTCACACGTGCGTCAACGTGGTTGCACGTGTAGGGGAAATCATGTGGATGACGTGCTCTGCACGTGCCCCTTTTTATCTCTCTGCAAGAATTTTAATTTTAATTTTCTTAATTTCCATGTTCCAACTACTTTCACTCTGTGGGAAATACAACCACCGAAATTCATTTTTAGTTTTTTTTGCTTTTATTCTTATTACTCAAATGCTAACAAAAGTGGAGATAAAAATACAATTAGTAGAAAGGCATACAATAAATTAAAGTTCTATATTTAAAAATTGTAAAATATTATGCATAAGACGGAAAATTCATTTATCTATTCAATTTATATTGTTCTATAAAGTTTTTGACAATTAAATTACATATCTCATAGAATAAATTTTCTTAATTTACATTGAAATTTTTTACCTAAAAACATAATTTGCTATTGGACGAAATCCAGGAAAAAAGAAGTTAAGAGGCCGAAAGGACGGATTCACAAGGAATTGGCCCTTTTAGTTTGGGTAAATATTGGGCTAATTAATGATTGGACTGAGTTGTAAAGTATGTACAAATAAGTAATGGGCCAATGGTTGATATCTCTAGATAATGACCTAAATTAAAATCGGGCATTTTTAAGAATGCCCAATTTTCAGTATATGAGTTGAAAAGTGTCAACTCTTTTGAATTTAGTGTCAACTTGTCTATTATGCTCTTAATGAAAAGTTACATTTTGTAATGGTATTCTCGACATTTTAAATATCGTTCTCAACATTTGATTTTTTATCAAATTTGTCACGAATTTTGAGAAGTGACTTCCATGAGAAGTTACATTAAAATAATGTTTCTTAACATTTCATATGTCAATCTCGACATTTGAACACCGTTTCACTTGTCTAGAATGACATTTTATTTTGAACATGACATTTCTCTACATTTAAAAATGTCGTTCTCAACATTTCTGAATCAATGAAAAACATAGTATTTATTGTGATTTGACATGTATGCTCTTTGAAATAAATATGGCAGGTTATGTGTCACAATTTTATTGGCCAATAACAATATTGCAAAAATGTCCTTTTTTGTCTTAGTATGGAATTATAAATTGTTAATAAGGGCATTTTGATCTAAATTTTTTCAAATTAAACATTTTTGCAATGGTGGACATTTTTCACAAATGACTGGGTAAAAATAGACATTTTGTGAAATTTCCTCAATTAAAATTAGAAGGAACCTTACCTTTTAAGTTTACATTATAAAAAACCAAGTAATAATTTATTCTTATTCAAAAGAGGGGTATCTTTATTTCAAAAATTTCTTAATTATATTTTTATTTTGTCTCAAATCCCGTTAGTTGTAGTAATGTATAGCACTTAGGAAGGACTCAAAAAATACGATCGCTCAATTCCGTATTAAATATTTTTTTTTATTGCATTTCAAGTTTGATTGTACGATTCATTTTCGAGCGTGAATGAAACTTTTACTTTTTGCACGAGACTTCACTGATGATGATCCCATTTTGGACACCTGGTGTAAGTGTTTAAATTAGATTATTGTTGTTCATTCATACATTTATTGAGTTTCACATTATTTTGACATTAATTGATATTTTCGATCTTCAACCTACAAGTGGGCTGTGCATGTGTCTAACTTGGTAGGGGGGCCAGGGCCGATCCTAGACCAAGGCCAACTAGGCAATGGCCTAGGGCCTCAACTTTTTAAAAGGGCCTCAAAGTAAACATAAAGATCTGTAAAAAAATTTCCTGTAAAAAGTGGTGTTGAAAGAGGCAAAGAATCTCTAGTGCACTATTAATTACCATGCAAAAATAGTTGGCAAAAAATCTTTGGCCTTGTGAACTACCTTCTCACTGATCTTACAACTTGTGGCAAACTGAATAAATCAGAATTCAGATTCTAAATAAATGAAAACTGAGAACACTGAAAACAGAAGCATGGAATGTGCATTTATGTGCATATGCTTACAATAATTTATGTTCATATGCTTACAATAATTAATTTCATTATCAATGTTATATTAAAGTTATATATAAATTTTAGTTCAGACTGGATATCAATTGGGGTAGGGGTAGGGATAGGGATAGGGGTAGGGGTTGGTGAGGTTATTGAACTAGCTCTTCCAAGCAACAATTTTTGGATTTTTTTTTTTATCAACGTTGAGGCATCTGCCAGTTCTGATTAGAATCTTTAATTGCTTATTAAGGCCCCGTTTGGTAAATATTAATGTCAAAATGAGAATGAAAAATATAACTGTTACGGGCCCCACACAAGAGATAAAAATTCAAATTTGATGGTTTGATGAAATGAATAACGGTCATATTTTTCATTTTAATAAGGAAATAATGAAAAACAAATAGGGGCTAAACAATGCTTCGAAAAGATCTTCAACGTAGATATGTATTTATCAAGAACAGATGGTATAAGTTATGGAAAACTGATACTGCAAAGTGAATTCTTTGGTTTTAGGGGCAACTTTGGAGTCCATTGACATTTCTCCATTTGCAGAGGCCAAAATATTTTGCAAACTAAAGACATTCATTTTGACAAATCGGTGGAGACTTCTTTGCATTGAGCTGGAATTGAACCTCACATTCTACATTAAGGGCCTCATAATAATGAGTGGCCTAAGGCCTCATAATTATTAGGGCCAACCCTGGTGGGGGCAGTGGCAGCGATAATAGGGAGAGATGGGCGACGATAAATGTGAGCAATGAGCACGGTTCAATTTGAAAAATATTTTACTCAATTTCAAACAAAACCATATCATACGGGTTTTTTTTAAAAAAAAAAAAAGCAAATTAAATCAAACTATTTTACTTTTTGAGAAAAACAAAATAAAGCCATTCTTTTAATCGGCTTGATGTCTAACTTCGACTTACTTAAAGACATAAAAGTAATACTTTATACAATCTAAAGAATAAATATTTGTTCAAATCTCAATAGAAGCTCCAAAAGAAACTTTATTAACATAAGTTTTCCAATATATTAGTATTAACGCAAGCTTAAAGCCATAAAAAAGGAAAAAAAAAAAAAAACACACACAACAACAAACAAAATTTAACTATAATAAATAACAAATTTGCTTAAAAATAATTAACAAAATTCAAATATATCAATACATTTAAGCCTCGTTTTAATCACTAGTAATCCAATATGTTTGGATCGTATAGTGAATAATGAATTCTTATGATGCCAATGAATTTTTTTTTAACAAAATTCAAATATATCAAAATTGAACATTGTCGGGTCCACATTCAAACCATTTCAAACCAAGAATTCGGTTCAATTTTGCAATTTGGCGAATTTTTTATTTAGCCTAGTAGCTTGGTGTTTTACTCTGTTTGTGGAGGTGGGTAGAGGAGGAAATGTGTTTTTAGATTTTACTTTTTATGTTTCTTTTTTTTCACTTTTTTACTCTTTTTTTTTTTTGTTTTTTTTTTTTTTTTTGTCACTTTTTTACTCTTTTTTTTTTTTTTTTTTCATTTCTATGAAAAATTTTGATTCTTGACTTTGACTTCTTGCTCCATAATTTTGATTGCTTCAATACCTTATTCTTGATTATTAATCTTGATTGCCAGTTTTGAATCTTCCTTTTCAATATATTTTTTCTAGATATTCTTGTATTGATAGGATAATATAAAGAATGAGAATCATATATGAATTGAGGATCATAACTCTATATATATTCATAAGTATTTTGTCGATCGTGAAATACAACCTTAACGAATCCGATCTCTACAAATATTTAGGCTTATAGTTTGTTTAGATACCCAAAGCCCATAACTTTAATTCTAGATCAGGTCACTTTAAATAGACTTAACTTTTAAGATAGCATTTATACACAATTAATTATAGGGAAAAATTCATATCTAAGGTGTATATTTAACATTTTCCATCAATAAAAGGTATCTACCGCTACAAAATCCTCATCAAAAATAATTTATCCAGAGTAATTTCAATCCAGACACTGTAGAACCCTAATTCATCAGGTAATTGTGCATTCGCCATTCAAATTTGAAATGATTGACGTCATCGACATTGATATTTTCGTGTCACAGATTTGGAATCGGCTTGGAGAAATTGACGTTTTCGCATAACAGAAATCAATCCAGGTATTGGTCCGATTATTGCACTACTAGTTTTTCGCATTTAGCATCATCAGATAAGATTCGAATTTCTTCTGTACCCAAATTTCAAGCGTCCGAGTCTATCGTGGCCACATATGTCTCAAATTCAATAATATTGTGCAGTGGGACATGAACAACATGCATGAAATGTGACTTAATTGAGTGTAACCAGTCTTAGACAAGTGTAGCATCGATTGTGGATGTCTGTGACCACTAAAACAAATGTGACAGATTGTAACGACATCAAACATAAGATGTGAACAGCGTATGTGACCTTTCTGATTTACACTGGAAGACAAAGAAACATAGGATTCGTTGTGGTCGATTAAATGTGACCTCTGTGAAAAAAATGTAACCTCCATTTGTTTTCGATTATCTGTAAGATATGTTATATTTGGATTGATCATACCCGTGTGTGACCTATTCCGATATTTGACCAAAATATGATCGGATATTTGACCAAAATATGACCACTCGACACAACAGTATCCATACAAATGTTACATATGTGAACATGTGAGTGAATTGGAGAAGAGAATGAAACCAATTTTGTTCATGAAATGTGACCTGCATTTTTGAGTGTCATATGTGACTTCATGTTATTGCATAAATTCTTATATAAAATTGTATGCACTGTATTAAATTAACCATCCAGAATGTGAGGATTTGAAATTCAATTTTGCAGAAATGGTGTACTTGCGCATATGTTTGTTGCATGGATCTCAATCAGCGTTGGCGTTGGTAGACCGTGGATGCAGTTATATAAACCTTGTAAACACGATTATGTCAGAGTTCAGCTTGGATCCGACCAAGGTAGCAGTATCATTGAAGTATATACTCAACGACGATTTGCCTGCAATCAGGATAAAAAATGACAGCAACGTGCTTGCATACATTCTGCTGAAAGAAGTCGATCGTAATTCAGCTAAATATCCATTAATCATTGACATAATTGATGCAGCAATAGAGTACCCGTCTGACATTGTCACAGATAATGCTTATCGTAACATTGAGCTTTATACGTTGCAGGATGTGGCCACAGAAATCTACGAAGCATCAAGTAAACATGTAGGTCACATTTGTGACAATGAAGTCACAATTGTTTTTATAGCAGATGCTATTCAGGTCGAAGAATGAAGGATTTTTCATGATAAGGATATTTTAAAATTGAGCCTATCTTTTTTTGCCATACGAAACATGTTTGAGTTTATGGTTGAACGATCCGATAAGAAAGAATATGTGGTGAGGTGTTCTCAGGAAGGATGTACTTGGATATGTCGATCGTCAAAATCGGGTAAAACGAATCTATTTAAGATTCGAAAGATTGGTAGTCACACATGTGGATCAAATGTGGTGTTGGGTTCACACAGACAAGTATCAGCTACAGTTGTGTCATCTAGCATCAAGTACAAGTACACATCGGCTGACACCATATACACACCAAAGGACATATGCAGTGATATGCTACATACTTTTGGAGTATATTTGAATTACTCAAAAGCTTGGAGATTCCATGAACAAACATTGAAGATGATTAGGGGTGATCCGACGGAATCATTCGATAGGATACCAAGCTTCTTCTACATAGTTCGACAAATAAATCCTAGTACGGTCACAGAGTTGGAGGTCGATAGTCACAATAGGTTCAAGTACTGTTTTATGGCACTCGGTGCATCAATACGAGGGTGGCAACATTGTAGGCCCGTAATTGTCGTTGACGGTACTTATTTGAATGGTCATTACGGAGGTACCCTATTCACAGCATGTACACAGGATGCAAATAATGACATATTTGTTCTTGCTTTTGGAGTATGGGATAATGAGAACGATAAATCTTGGAGATGATTTTTGGAGAAACTGAAGAATGCATATGGGTGCAAAGAAGGATTGTGTTTTGTATCGGACCGTCATGGCAGTATAAAGAAAGCAATAGAACAAGTGTATCCGGAAAGTTGCCATGGTATCTGCTCGTACCATTTGCTGCAGAATCTAAAATCATATTATGGGAAATCAAGGCAAAACATTACGCAGGCTTTCAATTCGGCTATCCGCGCTTACACATTAGAAGAATTTGAATACAACATGCAACAATTGGACGCAATGAATGATAAGATTCGTGATTACCTGGTACTGTACTAACTACAGCACTCCATTGTCACATGCAATGAAGCGGTCACATATATCCTTTTATACTATTCTCATACTACGATATATTTTGGCAGGATGAAGTAGGCCCTGAAAAGTGGTCACGAATACATATGCCGGCAAACAGATACTCTACAATAACATCAAACATTGTAGAATCAGTAAACGCGGTCACAAAGGTAACTAAGAATCACCCCATTGTATTCTTGCTGGAGTCATTGCGATAAACAGTACAAAATTGGTTCTGTAAACATAGAGACAAAGCACATGGAACTTTCACGATGTTGACTAGCAAGTTCGAAAACGTCATGAGGAGAATGAGTTCAGAATTAAGGAACTTGAGGGTAACTTTCTTATGTATCCTGAAGTTTGTGTATGTAGATTAAACAGAAATACGCATGTGATTATATCATAGGTGTCTGTGACATGGAATGTACATATGTGATTATGTGTCCAAATATTAATTGCATGTGACCAGTAATTTACGTATGTGACGCTATGTACTTTCTTTGTGGTGCTATATAATTTGTATGCTAATGTAAAACCTGTGACCTGAGTGTGAAGTCCTGTGACCTGAACATACCATTGTTCAATGAGATATGAATGTCTGTGACCTATTCTTTTTTTGAGTTTAAACTGACACATACCATTGGTGCTAATACACTCTCACAGGTATCTCATTCCAACCAAACAGTGTTCTTCGTGAGCGATGAAAGGTCCACATTTGTTGTTGACATTGAACAACGTACATGCACTTGCAGGATGCTGCAGGTCGATCTGATGCCTTGTCCACATGCATTGGCTGTAATCGCACATACGAAAAAGGATGCATATTCTTACTGTTCTTATTATTACACAAAGGATGCATATGTAAATGCTTATGAAAGTTCAGTGTATCCTGTTGGAAATCCAGACGAATGGAGAGTGTCCGATGAAGTAGAATTCCAAATTATTTTAGCTTCTAACCAAAAGCGGAGTTCTGGAAGACCTACTGAGAAGCGGAAGAGATCATCTAGGGAAGGGAAACCAAAAGTAAGATGTGGACGTTGTGGTGCACATGGTCACAACCGTAGGAGATGCTCAAATTTGGTCCCATTAAATAAGAACAGTTGATAGGAAGTCAATACAGGATAAAGACTTATCAAAGTTAGGTTGTACTCTTAAATTCTTATTAGCATACCGACATGTAGAAATGTGTTTCAATTGAGAAATGATGCTTAAATAGTAAGGTAATAAATGCTAAATGAAATACATCTGCACTTTTTATTCAATTTAACGTAGAGTTGTGTAAATTTATGATTATAGATTCCATACACAGCAATATATTTGAATTGTGACCATTAATTCACTTAAAGGCATGAATTGTGACCTAAACGTGGTGGCGAACAAATATATGTCCATTCACAGATTCCATAAATAAGATGAACTGTGACCAATTCTTAGCATGCTATTTTAATTGATATGTGACCTGTTCTTGACATATGTCATGGCAAACTAAAACTATGGCCAAAAGCACAACCAAATCATTGGCCAGGTACGTGACCTGTTATTTACAAATGGCATGGCAGACTACAACTGTGACAAAAATCGAAACCACAAGACCAAAACCAGAACTACAGCATACCATAAACTGTGACCTAATTTTCGGTGTACAGTTAGACCTGTGACCTGATCTTGGCATGAAATGTTAAGAGTGCTAAATCTGTGATCTACTACACATATACTATGTGACTTGTATTAACATATCATATCAAACTGAAACTCTGACCAAAAGCAATACTAAATCTGTGACCTAATTTTCGATGTACAATTCGACCTGTGACCTGATCTTTGCATCATATAGTATGAGTGCTAAATTCGTGACCTGCTATGCATATCATATGTGACATGTTATTGACATATGTCATGTCAAAATAACTCTGACCAAATGGAATATTAAATCTGTGACCTAGTACTATTGATATGTGACCTGTTATTTACAAACAGCATTGCAAAATAAGTCTTATACCAAAAGCACAACTGTGTATCCAAGCAACAACATATTACCAACTGAATGTTGGGGCACCCATGTATTGCAAAAGTATATTCACATCCACATGACAGTATTGAGTACAAACACCTCTATTGCTTGAAAGAAATATAAAAGGCTACCAACTGAAGCATAAAACTCATTTACAAATGTTTTCATATTTGTCATTCTATTACAATCCCTTCCCCTTTAAAAGCCTGTCTCGCCTTCTTCACGTAAGATTCTTGGTGTTTGTAGAGTAGTGAGGTGATATCAATTCTACATTTTGCAGCATCGAACTGATGGAGAATAGCACATCTGTCATCACGGAGGATATACAATGCATATAATATCACGAACACCCCGCAGTCATGACTGTAAAAGAACACAATATAGTATGTTATGAATTAATTAATTTACAAGTTATACTGCTATAGTTGGTCACATACTTACTCATTCGTCTGCTGAGGCAGGGTACTGTCAATGGTCACCTTCATTTGCTTGCATTCAGATTCGTTGTAATCGGGGTCTTTTTTCGAAATTCCCAACACTTTCATAATAGCAGGCAATACCTTCACATAGGGCTCAATACCTTCCAGCACCTTCCAATCACGATAAGTTTTTCCAGCTGAATTGAACAGCATCAAAGTATGACTTCTAAATTCTACCAGACCTAACATCCAGTGAGCTTTATTCGTGGGTAAGAGTGGCATAAACACATAGTCTACATCGGCCCAAGATGTGCTTAGGGATATTAGCCGACCTGTGACAGCCTTAATCAAGCTGCTCTCCGATAACAGAACTTGAGGGTCTTTTTGAAAAGCGGAAAATATATCTTTTATCTTGTTCTGGAACCAAGAGTCCGTTGTTGTAACTCTAAACTTTACTTTCCCAAATTTTGCTACCTAGCGAATATAATAGAAGCATGCATCCATGTGCTGTTTGAACATGAAGGACACAATTAGGTATAACATTAAAAAGTTATGACTCTATGACAGTGGGCTGCTCAACGGTATGTGCATGGTGTTGTATGAGGTTCTTAATGTTGTGTAACTGGTTATCAAGAAAATGTGTAGTAAGTAGATACATAAGCATTACCATACCGAACCGCTTAAAGATGTTTCAGCATCTATCAGCTGGTGGAACCATGTCTTGTGAACGACTAGGTATAAGCCAATACTAAAGGCTGGTTTGATTTGGTCATCGTGCTCATTAAACTTTTTACTGTTGTCAAGATACTGTGACTGTGTGACCAGTGTATTTGAAAATATAAGAAAAATATACATGTCTATTTTTGAGTTTATATCCTCTCTGAAACCAACCCAGGAATGCTGATTTATCAGTTTCTTCAACATGGTCTTTATAATTTCCAAATACAATAACATTACCGTCATGCCACGGTTCCTTTCCTTCCCCAACAACAAATGGAGACCGCAGTATCCTCGCAGGCCTTGAATCCCGCTTAACTGGTAATTCAGAAGCCGGTTCAGTAGTTGGTGATCCCTGTGACTTGTAAAAGATCACATTTAGTTTGCATAAATTCGATGTACACATTGTGTGACTAGCAGATTACACGAAAAAAAATAATTTGAATACCTCTTCGTCAACATTTTGGGATGCTGTGATCACATCAGATATGGCAGCATCTACTTGCTATTGAATTTCTGCAGACTGTAAATCATCCGATTGTGTATATCCGATACCCAAGTCAAATAATAACGGTTCAAGACTACTTGGAAAGGCAACATCTTCAATTGGGTCGACCTTCCCCTTCCTTTTCCTGTCGACAGCAGGTTACAGTTTTTCCACCTGTATGTGAAATTGGAAAATTTGAGACATGAAATCTGTAACTATGTTCAGTGAAAGATAGATTGAACATATCATGTACCTACCTCGTCGATCTTCTCGAATCCTTCGATAGCAGCTTCGGTATCTTCATACTCATTAACTGGACAACCTTTCCTATCATTGAATCGCCTTAATATCTCATCCATGGAGCTTGAGATCATTGCAGTCAGGGATTCAGATAGGAATTGCATGTTCGTCCTAATCTCTATCATGTCATGTTTTAACTATCCTTGCATTACGATGATTTCAGATATCTTTTTTGCCTGATCAGAGTTGAGGCTCAACATCTGTGACTTGATGGCATCCATCTCCACGGTTACTACTTTATTCTCTTAAGTTCTAATATTTGCACATTCAAATCGTGAAGCATCTGTAAACATGATTAAGATAAATAGTTACACGTGACCTTAAAAAAGATGCTTGTGAGCATGAGAAATGAACTGTGACCAGTACTAAGTGAACTGTAACTAGTACTAAGTGAACTGTAACCACAATTTGAAAATATTTGAACAGAAATAAAAATAATCTTACAGCACTCCCTTGAATCCCATGATGTTGTTCTTCATTTGGAAAATGTTGGGGGACCTGAATGGCCTTCATCAGCACAGGGTGTTTCCTGATGGGATATCACCTCACATCGTCTTGGAGGATCCACAAAATCGTCATCATCATCTGTAATGTGAGCCTGTCTAACACCAGTGTCCGTTATCAAAGGCACTGATTCCTCACTCATGTGTGAAGGGTCAACAGACTTTTCCTTCCTGCTTTCCTTTCGACGGCTACCTCAAGAAAATTCTGGTTGAATTATTTTGTTATGCTGCATGCCATCCATGTATGGCATTGCGATTTCAACTTCAGTGGGTACCAAGTCACAAATTTCAATATGCATTACATTACAGTAAAAGATTAGAGAACCAATAAGTTTACCATATCTTCCACTATCAGCAGAATATGGATTACTGAAACATTACATTAGGCTTGTTGAAGCAGCCAAGCTCCTCCAACTTAGATACAGAAGGTTGCTCGTTTGCATTCCAGTTATTGATTCGAGGGTGCGTCCTTGATACCATTGTAACAATAACTTCATCTAGGTCAGGGAAGGTTTCGAGATCCATGCTTAAAAGGCTACCAACATACCTCGTAGCCTATAATGTGCGGTTTGTCAACTCAATGCATCTTTCAAAGAACTCAAAGTAATTTCAAACAGTAACTTTCCCCATGGAAAACTGTTCAGCTCAGGGAAGTCCTCAACAAGCGTGAACAAATAATGGTCAACCACTTTCTTATAATCTCTAGGAAATAAGTGTGCAGTAACGAAATACAGGATACCAATGAGTGCAACATCATGATCCGGGAGAGTTTCAACAAGATCCAGATCAGGCATTTGGCAAGCAAATATGAATGTGGACTTCACGTCTTCATGTGTCATGGTATCCACTTGAGAAAAGTACTTATTCTTCAGTTGTGACTGTCTACTTTCAAAAATGCCCGTGTCACTATCGCCGGAACATCTCAGCCCCATGAATATGCAAAACTCAGATATAAAGAATCTAACATAACGCCCAGCAACTAAAAACCACATCTCTTTAGGATTAGGTTGTTGGACCTGCCGCAAGAGGAAGTAGTGAATTAATTGCGATTGTACCACAATTTCATGACAGTCGAAAAAATGGGCAAAGCATGTTCCCTTCATAATGAGCTTCTGTCGGTCAAATAATTTTGCTTGGATACTTGAAAGCACACCCTTGCCGATCGATGTTGAAATTTTGCCTGGGAACCATCGTTCCTTCAGTATGATAAATTGCCAATCCTGCACAAAATTGTTTAGAAATACCCAATGTTAAGTAAATGTAGGGAAATCACACACAATTAGATGTATGCAACTGTGTACTCTGGCTACAGATAGATTAACATTGTTGTATAACCAGAAATAATATGATCACATGCATGTGTAATGCTATGAATCCAGGTGTCACATTCACAACAAAACTTAGTCATAGAAATAATATGGTCACATGCCATGAGTATCGTGTTTTATATTCAACTGAATGAGGTCACATAAGTATGCATTGTTACGCAATAAAGCCAGATAACTGTTGTCAAATCATGATACAAACCAATTACAGGCATACATTTTTGTTGTGCATTCAAGCCACAAACCATGTATGCCACAGTCACATATTGACATATTTGTCAATGTAGGCATTGTTGTTCATAATGCCTACGGTCACAGATGTATAAATAAATACAGTCAACAATCAGGCTACATGCAACAATCAGGTGAATCATTAAAAGCCACACATTCATAACTCCCTTGGTCACATATTGAGATCTTGGTCACATATAGATAATGGCGAGATCACAGACAATTGATCAATTGACAAATGACGTACGTTCCTATGTACTTTGTTTGTGGTGCTATATACTTTGTTGTGCATTCAAGCCACACACAATATAAGCAACAATCATAGTTTGACATCTTGGTCAATGTAGGCATTGTTGTTCATAATGAATATAGTCAGAGATGTATAAATCAGCAACGTCAACAATCAGAACACATGCAACAATCAGGTGAATCATTAGAGGCCACACATTCATAGCTCCCTCGGTCATACATTGACATCTTGGTCACATATTGATAATGGCGAGGTCACAAACATAATTTTTGTTATGTAATTAAGTGACATTTTAGGAGAAATCTAGGTCACACTCAATATTGGTACCAAGAACCCTAATCCAACGATTAGGACCGATTAAATGTCGGAAAAATTACATAAGACTTCAATGCTTCTAATCCATGAATTCCATCACCATGTTTGCCAATAAAATCATAATAACTAACACCTAAAATTATAATTACCTTTTTTGAGCGCAATTTCTTCGCGGTCAGAGACATCGATTGCTTATTAGGTGGTGTTTTTTTTGGGCTAACCACGGATTTCCTCTTGCTTCTACGTTCAGACGTCTCTTCAACATTGATTACCAACTTCGCAGCCTTTGACTTCTCCATTTCAGATGTCCACGGAGATTTGGGTGAAAACAACGGAGTGTATTATCCACTGCTTGATGTGGCCGGACGTGGGTTTTATTCTAAGTTGCCGGAAGTGAGATCAATGAACGGTGTAGACGATTGAGAGAGTGGAAGATAGATGAAAAGGCGAAATTCCAGCACTTGGGAGGAACCGTGTAGAGGATTGAGAGATTGGGATCAAGAGAGTGAGAGATAGATGAAATGGTTTATTATGGAAGTTATTATAATTAAAATTCAAATTGCGATATTTAAGGGAACACGACAGTTGCAATACATATCGTTTAAAAACTAAATTATAATTTAATATTTATATATATAATAATTAAATTAAAACCTGAGATTTGCATAAACAACTTTGGAGGCTGAATCTTGCACAGTGATCTCCAAATGTCGGGAATTCTATAATTTCCACTTAATTATATATGTAGGCTCATATGATAAATTAAAACACAACAATCTCCCATTTGGGCCACATATGATATCTTATAAATTTTTATAACCTCATGACATCAAAATTTTGCTATCACAACCAAAAGTATCTCCGAAAAATCTTGTCCATTAATTATGTCAATATAGGATCAAAACGATTTTCGTTACAAGTATCATAACTAAACCTATCAACTATCAGATATATCAACACAATCAAATGGCATAGATCAATTATAAATGTGTAGCATTGAAATTACAAGTAATGTAATTCAAACATGATTATTTCCAACTAATTATGCCTTATTATTTCATGAGATCAAACCAAAACTTTAATTGGAATGACTTTATTTTTGAAATAACTTGAATATCCATAGATAAAAAAAAATGTGTCTAAAATAGACAACATCAAATATGAACTCCCACTAAATCACCATATCATCAAAAGATGCAACACCCATATGAGCTATAAGTTCGTGAAAGACATTGGGTAGTTGCCCTTTAATAAGCGGATCTACAATCATAAAGTTCGTTTTAATATGCTCTATAGAAACTTGATCAATCTGGATTCTTTTATTAACAATTAGGAACTTAATGTCTTTGATATCATCGAGCTCCTATTGAAATATAAGATTGATATTGTCATAGAATAAATTAGTGGACTTTCAATTCCATCCAAAAAGTGTAGCCTCATGAAAAAATCCCGCAGTCATATTTCATGATCAAAATCAGAATATCAAATGATCTCCAATTGATCTGATTTCTTGTATATGATCATATAATTCTTAGAGTATCTCCAAAAGACTCTTTAAACATGAGATGTTCTCTATTTTAAAGAATTAACCTTCAAAATTATGCTCCAATAGACTCTTTAAATTAATATTTTAATTTAAAAAGAAACTTATTCCTTATAATGAACTGTATTCAAAGTGTTTTAAATTTCAATGTATGAAAATAATAAGATAATCCTAAAATTGCTAGTTTAAATAAAATATAGAGAAAAATAATAAATATTTTTTGGGAGTAGTAAAATTAAGTATTAAATATAAAAAATTTGTTGGAGTATTTCAGAATTTCAACTCCCTAAATTTATAGATACTCTCGAAATGATAGAATATGTTCTTTAAAAATAGAGAATCTCTTAAAAGTGCTCTTAGTTCTCTATAGATATTGAAGAACCAAATGGACTGGTTCTTTTTAAGTTAAATACCCGAACGGGTATTTAAATTGAGAATCAACCAATTTGGTTCGATTTTCGATTCTAGATCAAGAATAAAAGAATCGAATCTCCCTAATTTTTAAATTTATTTATCTTAAATAAACAAAATTATTTTTTAAAATAAATTTGCTTGCTAATTAATTTAATACAAACCCAAAAATGTGATTTTTCTATTTCTAATTTCTTGTCCAATCTCAACTTAATCAAATTGACCTAAATTTTACCCAAATATGTTATTCAACTGTAATGTTGCTTCTACTGTTCTAAAGAAAGTGAATTGAGGCTCGACTGTGCTTCTCTTCATCATTGTGAGCTCATTATTTACTTATTATTGTAATTTTAACAATCAAATCTATAAATAACACAACAAAGAGAAATACAAAATATATATATAAGACTGGACTTACATTATTTTGTAAGAGGTAAAATTGAACATTTCATTAGTTGAATCAGTATAGTTTTATAAATATTAAAAAGTTCAATTATAGTACGGAACTTGGGAACCGAATTGAACTAAATCGGATCGAACTAAATCTAAGAAAACAATGGACTGAACTATGAGAATGTGAAAATAAATAATGGGCTAATGGTTGATATCTCTAGATATTGGCCTAAATTAATTAGAAGGAACCTTGCCTTTTTAAGTTTATATTATATGAAACCAAGCCATAATTCATTTTTAGGGGTATTTTTATTTCAAAAATTTCTTAAATATATTTTTATTTTGTCTCAAATCCCGTTAGTTGTAGTAATGTATATCACTTAGGACGGACTCAAAACTACGGTCGCTCAATTTCGTATTAAATATTTTTTTTATTACATTTCAAGTTTGATTGTATGAGTCAATTTCGAGCCTGAATGAAACTTCTACTTTTTGCACGAGACTTCACCGATAATGATCCCATTTTGGAAACCCGGTTTAAGTGTTTAAATTAGATGATTTTTGTTCATTCATACATTTATTTAGTTTCACATTATTTTGACATTAATTGATATTTTCAATTTTCACCCTACAAGTGAGCCGTGCATGTGTCTAGCTTGGTGGGGGCAGTGGCAACGATAATAGGTAGAGATGGGCGACGGTAGAGGTGAGCAGTGAGCATGGTTCAATTTGAAAGATATATTACTGTTTTTCAGACAAAATCATATCAAACGGTTTGAGAAAAAATAAATCCAAATTAAATCAAACTATTTTACTTTTCAAAAAAACGAAATAGAGCCATTCTTTTAATCGGTTTGATTTCAAACTTCGACTTACTTAAAGACATAAAAGTAATACCTTATACAATCTCAAGCATATATATTTGGGCAAATCTCAAGCTCCAATAGAAACTTTATTAACATAAGTTTTACAATATAATAGTATTAACGCAAGTTGAAGCTATAAAAATAATACAAAATTTAACTATAATAATTAACAAATTTACTTAAAAGATAATTAACAAAATCCAGATATATCAATACATTTAAGCCTCGTTTTAATCACTAGTAGTCCAATATGTTTGGATCATATACTGAATAATGAATTCTGGTGACGCTAATGAATTTTGTTAAAATTCATATATATCAAAATTGGACATTGATATCTCCTCGGGTTAAATGATGGGTTCACAATCTAAATTCATGGACAATGGTAATGCTTTCCTTTCAACCTTTTCAAGTAGATTATATTCCCACCTTTTTAATTCGTTCCAAAATGCAAGATTTTCTGTGCGTATTTTGCTTTCATCTAACATAGCAAGCTCATTATAATATTTCACAAGTGCTTCCTTGTTCAATAGGGGAGGACCAATTCCATTAAGAATGATGCTATCGTTTGGATACGTAGCACATATTCGCCCTTAGGCATGTAGCATTCATCAGAGTTGTCAATTGCTAGCTTTCGAATCTTAAATACTGTTTAAACCGCAAAAGCTTGGACATAAAGGGATTAGTGCATGTATACAAACATTGCCCAACATAATGCATCCATCACAAAGCTCACAAATAATGCCTTCTACAAGCATATCCTCATCATTCATGCCGAGATTACTTGCAAAAAAATTTACTCCTCTGTCAATATCAGAATCCTGCACATATTATTGAGTAATACCTGAAAGCATTCCAATCATAAACGATATTAGAGTTGGTAGTGAAAATTATCAAAAAAAAAAAAATGAATATTGTATAAAATAATAAACTCAAATTAAATACTTTATTCCCCGACAATGATGCCAAAAACTTGTTTGTGCGAAACCCGCAAACGTGCTAGGCCGTTGACAAGTAATAGATTTAATGAGTTGAGAGTATCGTCCCATGAATTCAAATTTACTATTTATGTTCCAATCATAAAAGAGATCGGGGTGGGTAATGAAAATTATCAAAAAATAAAATAAAAAAAATTCAATTCATATATAAAATAATAAACTCAAATTAAATACTTTATTTCTCGGCAACAACGCCAAAAACTTGTTCGTGC